TGCATATGGCTCGATTGCGCTCTGCATAGAGATCACAATGACAGACGCTGGGACAGTTTAGCTGCAGTTGGGTCTTGCTGCGGCACACCTGGAGCACCACACACAGCAGCAGACCCACATAGAGTAATATTTGCTTGAGGCCCAACCACATTTTTGGCTGGATCACGCATTGTAGTGCCATCGATGGTGGGGGCTGGGCTGTTGTTGTAATTCACTTAATCAATGGACATTTTGTAATATGCCCTCGTTTGTTCGTTTTTAGTTTTATCTATTCTTTAGTTAATTTCTGTTTCGGAAACGCCTTTCGATTCTCGACTAACAACTGAATGAATGAATAACTTGCTCTGCACTCCCGTAACATGACTAAGTGCGGCGCTGCTTCCAATTAGCTGGCCTTATGTGTGGACTACGTTCAGTTCCAGTTTCACCTGGTAATTACAGATTACAGATTCAAGCAGGTGACAGATACGCTCGACTGTTGACTGTAGCGCACACTTTCCAGTGCGATAAGATAAACGAATTGAGGCTTATCAGTACAGCTGGCCGAACTGCAAGCAAGTGCCTGGAGAACAGCTGCGCGTTTCTTAGCTTGTCTCTAATCTGGAAGAGTAAGTGTTGTAACTATTGTTCCACAACTGAGCGACTGGAAACCTACTGGGCTGCTGTTCACTTGGAAATGACTTTTGTTCTTAAGACTTGTTGGCTTCATGTATACGATAGTTAATTACTGTTAGAAATGACACTCTTTTTGATAGAGTTGTGTTAGTTCAGACCAAGTCATTAATATGAGCTGCCGAACTTACTCAGTGATTAGTTAACTAAATCAGTCGTTTATTTACGTAGTCGGTTGACCGATCTACGATGTATTCTGTACCGGTCAGTCATTCGGTCATAAATGATTCATTCTGCTTAGTAATTCGTTTATTTAGCTGTGCATAAACGATAAATTCTATTTAGCCTCTTATATATAACAATAAATATTTCAGTAGTATATATTATTATGTGTCGATTTTAATTTTTTATTTATTAATTATTGGTCAACAAAACGAATGTCAACCAGTACCTGTTAAGGCAAAAATGAAAAGCTAGAATCTACAGCTGATGAGAAGGGTGTTGGTAGGAAAATAAGTATTAAGCACATTAGGATTAAATATAAAATAAAAAGAATAAAGCGAAATATAATTAGATAAAAAAGAAATGAAAAGAGAGAAAAAACTATTAAAAAGCAAATAAATAAGATAGCTAAAACGTTAAATGATTCAACAATCCTCAGTATGGGTTAGAGGTCTTTCATTAAAATGAGTTCCAGCTTAATTTTGAATTCTTTCATCAAAATAGCTGTGCGAGCCACGACGATTACGTTAAAATTGTCAAGGAAATCGTTAGTAAGAGGAAAATCCTCAATTTTCAGATGTATACTGAGGATCGTTTTGGAAACTTCGGAGCACCCTATGATTATGAGCGTATTATGCACAACCCTTCCAACACCTTCACAAAGAATGGATAGGAACCAATTATCGCACGTCAGCCAGATGTTCAGTCGAAAATGGGGTAAAGGGACAATCTGAGCTCTGCTGATGTGACTTGTCTCAATAACTTGTGTAATTATCCAAAGCTAAAACTTACGAATAATTCAGAAACGTTAAATAAGACATGCGCTTTTAACTATAAGAACTTAGGCAGATTGTTTCTTCTACGACAATTAAATTAACTTCCGAACAAGTATTTAAATATCTGAATGCATATTCATTTATGCATTTGTCATGGATATACCATTAATTGATCTCTAAATTGCTGAAAATTATTGTAGGGTGAGCAATACAAACCCAAAATAGCCAGAGCCCCCTATCCCACTGACACCAATAAAGTAATACAAGTAATACTACAAGTAAAGTTATACAAGTACAAGACATAGTTCTTATTGCTTCCGTAACTGAACCCGAATCCGTTAGCATTTAGATTATATAAGCAAATCTAAAAACCTTAAATGAATCAATTATTCATAGTATGGCATTAAGGTTTTATTTAAATGTGCTCTAGCCTAATGTTAATCTCTCACGGATCATTTGAAATTGTTTGCAATGTGGACGCAGTTTAACGTTCTGTTGCTCGCTTCTATGTGTTTGGGCGTTGTTGGAGCCCCGATTAATGGAGAACGCAACCTGGGAGTTCATCTGGAGCTCAATGCTGGCTATTTCGAGGGTGACATGGATATAAAGCATACGCCGGATGGAAAGCTACAGCCGACTCAACGTTGGCCCCTTGCCACAGTCTACTACAAAATAGATAAAAAAAAATTCAGTAGGTTTCTAACTTGCGACATGAAATTCTCACCTTTAATTCACCAACGTTCCCACAGCTGCTCACCAAGAGAAGTTTATTCAACTGGGAATGTGGAATATTGAAACTGTGTCCTGCATAACCTTTGAGCCTGCCCCTAAGGAAATCCGTAACTTTTTGTGGGTCACCGATTCCAAAACTGGTTGCAGTTCCACAGTTGGTTACTCCAAACAGCATATGGTAGTTAGGTTGGTACCTAACTCTATAGGCAATGGTTGCTTTAGCTTGGGCACTATACAGCATCAACTGCTCCACACTTTGGGATTCTTTCATCAACATAATTATCCAGACCGCGATGATTACGTAAAAATTGCCAAGGAAAACATTATTACGGGGAAACTCGTAAATTTTCAGAAGTATGCTGCGGATGGTTTGGGAAACTTCGGAGCACCCTACGATTATGAGAGTATTATGCACTACCCTTCCAACGCCTTTACAAAGGACGGAGGAGAAACAATTATCGCACGTCAGCCAGATGGTCAGTCGAAAATGGGGCAAAGGGGCGCTCTGAGCTCCGCTGATGTGACTCGTCTCAACAACATGTACAATTGTCCAATGCTAAAACCAGAAACTGAATAATGTTAATCAATGTTTTTTTAACGCTTAGAACTCAGACAGATTGTTTTTTATAGGGCATATAAATTTAATGACACATAACTTTGTACATTTATGTGTTACATATCTCTTTGATTTTAAGTATGCATTTATCAATGGTTATAGCATACACCTATCCTGAAAATTACAGTAAGAATCAATCAGTCTAGCAATTGGAATCTTGAAGCCGAAAAATAAACAATCTTTCAGACAACCTGTGATCCACAGCTCTATCAGAGATGTATGGATTTTGCAAATAATGCGGAAATCTATAATAAATTTTCACAAAGATCTTTGGATATGAGTTGAAACCCGAATCGCAACCTACCTAACAGCATTCAATTAAACCACGTCTGAAGTTATATATAACAAACGATCGGTAAAAAATTGAGTCATATTTTGAATAACTGTTTTGTGTACCAAATCAGGCCTTAACTGATTAATAAGTATGGCATGGCTCTTAAAGGAAAACAGTAAGCTTTCTCTGAGCAACAAGGTGCTGCTGTATAATACCCTACTGGCCCCAGTTTGGCGCTATGCAAGTCAAATGTTCGGCTCTGCGGCAAAATCTCATTGGAGGAAAATTAGTGTCTTCCAATCCAAGGTGCTGAGACTAAGTACTGGGGCCCCCTGGTACATCCGCAACCGGTTCCCTTAGTGAGTGACCTTTTAAGACAGCAGTCCACCAGCTACATGGCCCGTCTTTCTGCCCACCCCAACATATTGGCAAGAAGGCTTTGCAGAAGAAAGCGAAGGAGACTTAGCAGGATCCACCCCATCGAACTCCCAAATCAAATAATTTAAAACTGAATAGATAATAATAAAATTAAGTAAGTTAATAAAATTATTGTAAAGCTAGGTTAAGATGCTCAAGAATAGTATCAGTAAATTTGCTAATAAATAGAGAGAAAAAAAGGCATTAACTAATTTAACTATTCGCTTTTATGTGCGCTAAATCTTATCAAGATTGCAGAACTATATTATATAGCTCTATGGGAAGAATTCTGATTCCCAAGATATTTTAATCAATCTAAGCATTTACGAGCTTCACTATTCTGGCTTTGTTATTGGTGACGGGTGAGGCATATAAAGCTTAAGCTTTATATGCTACAAATCTGTTTATATGACAGACGCAGTCGGTACTATGAAACTGTTCCTTTTTTGGATTGTTAAATTTGGCGACTTAAGCTTAAGAGACATAAATTTGTTGATTTTTGATGTTTTGCCGCTCCTTGGATACAGAGTAACAATTATATACAATTTGATATGCTTATTTAAGTATAGTCGGAGTTTTTTGTTTACTTCCGGGACCAAGTTTTTAGCCAAATCAACATTTGTTACAAATCAAATTAATCAACGTTAACTGAATAAATTAACTATAGCACGCGTTCAAGGTGGCGTCGCTGAGTTCCCTTTGAATTCAAGCAATAGCTTTCGACCAACTCACATTAAATCAACACATTATTAGCCTTAAAATAACAATAAAACATGTTTACGTCGGGAGTTTCCGACTATCAGATATCCAGAATACAGCGCATAGGCCTACACATATTCTAGCTTACTTGATTTGTACCGACTATGGTTTTGCTTCCCACACATGCCAATTCCTATGTCAACTCGAACAACAACGAGACTTTTAATTTTTGAGAGAGGTATCTAATATGTACAATTTCCTGGATGTTTTAGCCTATTCCAGACTCTTATATTATTCGACATATGTTGAAAATGAGGATACCAATATTTTTGTTTCGATTATATGGAAGCGGGGCGCTTTAAAAATGTCATGCCTTGAGCTCTTATAACTTCAGAGATTGACGCGGACATAAACTTGAACAGACAGATAAAGCTAAACAGAATTTGAGAAATCTTCTGTCTGTCACATACATTTGAATTAAACCAAGATACCCGATTATCTGTTTTCAATGGAAATAAATAGGTATAAAAGACAAGAAGCATTTCGGTTCCTGATTACGAAACCTTTATCAAACATAAGCTATTTTCATGATAAGCAAGCAAATAATTAAAGTCCAATTAGCTAAATGTGAAACTCAAACGGATTAGTTGGAAATTCCTGCGATGTGGTCTCGGTTTGACATTCTGTTGCTCGCTTGCCTGTGCTTTGGCGCCAGTGGAGCACCGCTTAAAGGGGACGAGTATGGGACAATTGATCCAGAGCTAGCTGGTGACTACTTCCAGGGTGATATGGATGTGGACTTCACGCGTAATGGAGAACTAGCAGTGACTCGACACTGGCCTAATGCCACAGTCTACTACAAGATAGATGAGGAGTTCAGTAGGTTTTGTACTTGTTGCATGCGATTCTCTCCTTTAATTCAGCAACTTTTACGTAGGTGCTGCACAAATGCAACATATTGAGTTGGGAATGCGGCGTATTGAACTGGTCTCTTGCATACGTTTCCTGCCCGCCAGTGAGGATACCGTGGACTATGTATTGGTCACCGTTTCCACAACTGGCTGCAGCTCTAAGGTTGGCTACATTGGCAGCGAACAGACGGTCAAGTTAAAGCCCAACGAATTGGACATTGGTTGCTTCCGACTAGGCACCATACAGCATGAGCTGCTCCACACTTTGGGATTCCATCATCAGCAAAGTTCTTCGGACCGCGACGATTACGTGAAAATTGTGGAAGAAAACATTACTGAGGGAAAAGAGCACAATTTTCAGAAGTATGAAGCGGACCGGGTGGAAAACTTCGATGCACCCTATGATTATGGTAGCATTCTGCACTACAGCTCCACAGCCTTCACAAAGAATGGAGAAGAAACAATTATCGCTCTACAACCAGATGGTCAGTCCCAAATGGGGCAAAGGCTCGCTCTGAGCTCCGCCGATGTGAGTCGCCTCAATACCATGTATAAATGTCCGATGCAGGTGTAAATAAAATTGAGAACATCTATTAATAATTCAGAAATCGCAATGTAAATCAATGTGTTTTCTTAGCTGTGATTGCGTAATTATACCATAAAACTTGAGCTTTGGGAAATTTAAAGTGAAGAACGGCATTCTTTAATTTATTAAAAATTGAAGACCCTTGTGGAATTATGGCTTAGACAGGGTTGAGAGTATGTGAGTAGAATAGTTAAGCTTGAATTGCTGAGTTCGTGTAAAGACATCTGAATAAACAGAAAATATATTTTTAAAGACCTATATAATAAAGAAGAATGTTGCTGATAAGCTTTTGTTTGTCGGGAGCAAGGTGAAACCAATATATGACAAGTTTTTATGCAAGAACCTACTTTTCGATCTACATTCCTATTTCTGCAGCAGACTGACTTGGGAAGACTTAGATTTAAAACTGAAGAGACAAGTTTGCATATCAGACAGAGGGACAGACGGATATAGCTATATCGACTCGGTTGTTGATTCTGATCAAGAATATATATACTTTGCATGTTCGGAGATGTATGCTTATATCCGTTACTCAGTTCACGGCAAAAATATAATACTCTCTACAAGGGTATAAAAAACCGTTCGCGTGTCTTTAAAGCTACCATATCTATAAGGAACTTAGAATACTGCTGGTCGATTACGCATTGTGGCAGGACTTCATGAACTTGCAATGTAAATTTCTCTTCGTCTGTATGTAAATTAGTGACTACGAAGTACGAACAGGGAATTTCGCAGTCAAGCAATCTCAGCTAGAGCACTTTTGCTTGCTCAAAGATGAATATTCAAGTCACATGCTATGGTAACATGTCTCAGAATCGCCACAGCAAAAGTCCTTTCGACTACACAGACACAGTGGCAGGGAGAGAGTGTGAGAGAGGGCGAGAGTGTGAGAGAGAGAGAGAGTTTGATGTAGTCGCTGGTGGAATGAAACACTTCCATCCGCTGCATCTACTACATCCAGCATCGGTGGCTCTTGTCCACTGGCCAAACAGAGTTGACGAAGAAAAAACTTCAAGTCCGGCCTGGGGCCAGTTGTTACGAGTTGATCGTTAGCCAGGACGGCGACTGGCTGACTCGAGGCTACTTAACAGCACAGCTTGCGATTCCGCACTGCTTCAAACCGAAGTCGAGGCTCTGTGCAAGTCCCAGGCCGACGTGGTCCAAGATGTAATGGCCACAAATCCACTTGTCTGCGCCGCACCGCGCCTCCCTCTTTGCATTCTCCGCTTGTCCGCTTGCGGCTTGCTTCCGCACTCGGTTTGTTGCCTTTAATTTATGACCATGACCTGACGCGCCTCAGTGTGGTGGAGGCGCAGCGGCGGCGCCTCTTGTCAGTCGTGGGGCGCGACCAGTGCTTGCCACATCCGCTGTTTGTTTGAGCCATGTGACGTCCCCTCCCGTTCCCTCTACAGCCACTGTGATCGGCACAATGAATGCAACAAGAAAAAAATAAAATAAAATGAAAAAGAACAAACTTTTTACACACATTCAGTTTTCGCAGTTTTCGTCGGAAATAGTTAACTTTTATATGCATTTCAAATCAGAAACTTTTACATTCAAACTTTATTAAAATTACGTTTGATGCTCGTCCAATTGCGCAGCCATTCCTCACCCCTCCCTCCCAGCAACCCATTGCGTTGCAAGTTGACTTTTGCAATTCCTATTTGGAGTATTGTTAGCCAAAATGTTGGTCGCCATCGCCCAAGTTCGTTTAGTAGCTCTTTGTTTGGCTGTATTTATTAAGACTCTTCAATTGGGCATACCCACTGTCTCGTTGATCTCATACAGGCAGCTGAAAATAATTTTTGATCGATTCTTAGCTAACATTTTCGTGTTATAAAGGTTGCAGTAAATGGACAATTTTTTCGTTTTTATTTTGGATCTTCAATCTTTAATAATTTTATACAACAATGTATTGCATTGTCTTACGATACATCAGGAAAAAGTCTCAAACTACAAAGTCTTAAGCTCTCTCAATATAATACATGCAAAAAAATATTAATTTTTCAAGCATCGATATCAAAAATATTCAATTAATTATAAAGTGTCGGTTAAAATTCAAGAGATGTTGGGACTTGAATTAAATGTTCTGCAATGTTAAATTAAAATGAATTTAATGCATATAATCGAGCCAATTTTACTGCTTCAAATTTAATTAATACATATAAAGCGTATTTCAAGTTCGTAGCCACCAGAAGAGTTATTCTGCGGGCTTGGTTGAACTGAACATTTGCGTTATTGTTTTGACTGCTGGAGCTTTTTTGTGGTATCTTCTCTGACTGGCAGCCGCAGCAGTTGCAGTGGCACCACCCACTGCTGAACCCACACCCGTGCCGCCCCTCCTTTCCCTTCTTACTAATGACCGACATTGCTTCCTAATTACAAAAGTTTTGCATGCACTCGCTGCACTCATCGGGATATCGGTGGCAAAGGGCAGGGCACTGTTGGCCGAAAAACTTCACAGTTTATTTGGTTTGCTTTATTTAATGTTTGAGTGCTTTAAGTTGGGCATTTTATTTGGACTTTAGAATGACACCAACTAACTAACGGCTCCATTAACTGGAAGCTGCAGCTACATGAAGATTGGACCGCGCTACACATGTTGGGCCAGTTGGTAAAAAGAGCCGCCAGCACGCACACTCATGTGACACATGTGTCATGTGACACATGTGGCACCAAGTCGGCAAGGGCAGGCACCAGTCCAAAGCATAGACACTCAACTGGCAGACAAATGGACGAACAGACGGCCGGACGGACGGACGGAGGGCCACACTTAATGATAAACAATGCTTGCGGTCAGTTTAACATGCCGCGCTATTGCCCCAAACACTAAACTCCCCCATCAGCAGTTGCCTCGCACACCCACATAACGAGTGGACAATTTACACACATGCTGAAACTAGCCAACAGAGGGCGCTGCTGCAGCTGCATATACATTTAGTAAAAAAAATAGTAGAAAGAGAAGTAACACAATGAAGAGTGAATACGCTGCAAGCCTTCGCAATTATTTTCCATCAGAAAATTCGGAAAGAAACACACCAATTAGAGTATACACTTGCTTTAGTTACTCGCTGTAGCGCGAATAAGTCGTTCTGTGTTTACTATTAGTAATTGAACCCAATAGGGCACATTATCCAAATACAATGAAAGGTAACATAAAACTCTTAGTCAGTTAAGATTTACACCAATTTGTTATCATAAGTCCCCTGCCTCTTGTTTATTTACGTCCTAATAATGTTTTTTTAGGTATTTAGAGATGACTCTATTAATGTGTTGCAGAATTGATGAATAACGTCAAATACCCGTCCATTGGTAAGTGCATTTCAAGCTGACAAGCAAAGCAGAGAAAAAGCGACAAAAACAACGTGCTTAAAAGAGCAGTAAATGAGAATTTATCCACTTGCTGACCAACGCACACACACACACACACACACAAACACACTTCCATTTACACTCACATACACAAACACTTACACCGCCCACACACATACACGCACGGACGACTGGGATACACGCACATCGTAAAGTTTTAATCGGATGTTGTCCAGCTTTACATGACGCCATCTACTGGCTTAGAGTGCAATATCCTGTGGCACGCGATAGCATCGCATACAATGAGAAGAGGGGCTGCCATTGCTACACATACACACACATGCACACAGATACACTCACACTTGTGCGTTGTTTATGCCGCCGTTTTGGTTGCCTGGACAAACGCTTTTGGCCCTTTGCCGTTTGATGGCATTCGGCATCGCTATGAACTCGAACCACGCGATGCCACAAGGCAAAACAAAGCGCACAGCCAGACGGACTAGTCACAGTTTCAGCGCCGACTCCCCTCCCGCTGCTGCCTGAAGAGCAGCCTGTGAAACAGCCGCCACAAAGGCTTGAAAAGCGCTCGAAAAAAAATAGAAAAAAGCAAAAAAAAAAAAAATAGTAGCTTGTGGATTATGTTGGCGCGGTCACAAGATGGGGCGAGGGGCGCGGCTTCCATTGTTGCTGCACGCACACTTGGCCTGACCAGCGTCCAGAGTGGAACATTCAACGTGCCGGGTCTGAGCAGCGCCAACGTCGTTGTCATTGTCGTGACAGGAAATTAAGATGAATGTGGCGAGCAAACTGCAGCTCCAACTGGACACTGGACAGTGGATCAGGGGTGCAAGGGGACTGGGGAGTCAGACTTAGGTTTTGTCTCTTTTTCCTGCTGTTTGCGCTGTTTGTCTCTGTTGCTTAACGGTCTCTTAAAATATTCATAACACAAACTGTTGCCACTATCTGCTGCTGCCAAGCCGCAAATGCGACGGACTGCTCTCAGCTGCAGCAGGGGCTGGGCCAGGGGAAAGGGTGTTGGGCGCTGGAGTAGTGCGAATAGAAGTGGCATCGTTGGGTGCAAAAGTTGCGCGTTGAAGCTAATTGATTTTTATGAATTACTTAAGTGACTTTTTTATGCAGCAGCAAATAACGAACGAACCGGGGCTTGTAATGGAGAGTAGCAATAGATGGTAAGACAGGGCATCTAAGATGAGTGCCAAATGCTAAGGAATGCGGTTAATGGCTAGAGTAAAACAACTTTGGTGCAGAAATACTGTGAAGATGAAATAACATCATAAATCAACTTAGTATTCGTTGATTACTGTGTGAAAAATATACTAAGTATCCTTCTTGATAAGACTTTGGTGCCTGTAACAGAAAGACGGAAGGATCTATGCAAAGTTTCGGGACGACAGCTATAAACTGGGATTGGTTATCATTGAAATGGATAGACAGACAGGCGGGCAGGAATTCATGGACTTAGCTTTCGATATTGATCAAGAATATATTATATTTCAAGCAAAAAGCCAAACCTCGTGAAAATTTGACCAAGCTATGAGGGTAGAAAATTTCGACCTATGTCTATACAGGATATTTGAGGGTAAAAAATTTACATGAATTTTCTTGTCCGTCTAAGGGATTGAAATATGAGCTATTTATTCTTTCGATTTTGAGACATGGCCCTACCTTCCGTATAGAATTCGAACTCGATACTCGTTGTCA